AATATTTTTCATTATTGATTTATAAAAATAACAATAAACGGCCGAACGGTCTCTATCATGTTAGTAAAATAACATATCTGCTATAAATGAATAATATATTATTATTGTGTTGTAAAATTTAATATTGATATTTAATTTATGAGCCAACTGAGATTTTACGACTATTTTTTGGTGAGTAAATATAAATTTCAAGGGTGAATACATAAATAATTAAAGTAAAGTTTATTCTTTTGAAAATAATTTATAGATTAAATACATTTGAGAAAAACAATAACAATACGAAATATCTTAATAATTTAAATAGTTTCTCCGCTCGATTAGAAAAATCCATATTTATAGAGCTAAAACAACATCTATTACAACGTAATATTTCATGTTCTAATAAGTTTATCATAATATTTTTCATTATTTTCATTGAAATATCTTTTAACAATACAATAATAATTAATAGTACTTACGTTGTATATTCCATAGATAAATGGGTTGTAGCAGCTGTTGCTCATTGCCAGCCAGTCACAACAGAAGAATACGATGTTTATGTAACGAAACCTAAAATAATATGAGCTTCAAAATTACTTGTACATCCAGAAATTAAGTATCGATAGATTAATAGTGATTTACTGGTTTATTGATGGGAATATATCTTGAAGCACGTTATATGTTTGTAATGGCAACCAACATAAAACGAACAATCCAACCACAATAACTAACATCTTTATAACCTGAAAAATCACCAAGCAGGTATGAAAATTTAATTTTGAAATCTTATATACTTAGCTTAATATTATTTTACATAACACAAAATTGTGTAGAAATAAAAACAATTGTTACATCTATAAGTATATTAATCGGATGTTATGTTCTTATTAATTTTGTATAATTAAGACRCTAAGACAAATTATCAAGAAAAAACAGATATGTTTTATTTTAATCATCACATTATTTGTATATTTACATACCTATTAATAAAATATCATATTATCATGCGTATCATAATTTTAATTCCATTATTCACTTTTATTAAGCTTGATTAATATTAACTTGCCACACAGAAATAGCATTAATTATAGTGTTGTTAATTTTTATACTCACGATAATATTTTCATGTAGAAATCATCTATTTGTAAAATGTTTATACATTTACAAGAATTATTTATGAATCCAAGAATTTTCTTTGCTCACAAATGTTAACTAATTTGARTTTATTGAATAGTGCTTAGCTTTATGAAGAATATACTACTAGAAATGAGATTAGTGTTTCGCATCATTTGGAAATCACATTTGTGTCGTTCAATTGGTCATACATACAGTTCAAGCCATTTCAGTTTTATCAATTATTTATCAATGGTATTATAAATGTTAATAATCAAACTGATTGCAATATTATGTACTATTTTATTTTTTATTTTTATTATTTATTTATTTATTTTTATTGTCTTCAACCGAAAGTTTCTATAGATCAACAATTAATTTAATGAAAATATAAGGATATGGCATTAATATAAATCATAATATGGCTTTGAAAAACCCATATAAATACCGAATTAACCAAGTATATTAAGCACTAGCTGTCCCGACACGGCGTTGCCCGCGTATTAGTTTGTTTTTTGGCATTTTCGTAGGCCGTGTATAGTGTTATTACTTATTAGTTATTATGTACCTATGAGAAAATAATTTTTTTTTTATTTGTAGTTTATTAGTGGTTTTGGAGAATATTCATATAATGTCACTAATAATAATTAATAACCCCCGGGATTAAGGATAGAACATAGTCTGCAATTTAATGAGTAAATTACAAAGTTCTTTATTGATAACATAAACAAATATATTTTTATAAATGATATACATTTTAAACTATTTTAGATTCTGAACGATGTGATGAATGTATTGATTTTACAATGATGTGTGATTTTTTTAATTTTTATTGTAAGTGTGTGGGAATGTCTATGGCTGAGAGATGAATGGAGCACTGTGAAAGATGACGGCCCATAAAAATAACAAAACACCAAATATTAATTTTTTTGAATTCATTGTATTTTTTATATCTTAACTAATAAATTTAAAATTACATCTCTATCATAAATTATATGAATTAAAAAAAAAWATTGTCAGTCTCTTAGTGCGATGGAGTGTACGATATTTTTAGTTAATCCATATTTAGCCAACACAAACAAACTGGATGGTTTACCCACGCGAGAACATGTCACGTATAATTGTCCGTGTGAAAAACATGGTGTGCCCAGATCTAAGCCACAAACAGTCATCGTTTGGCCTTGGGACTTATTGATTGTCATTGCGAATGCCAATCTGATTGGAAATTGAACCCGTTTGAATTCAATTCGGACATCTGTAGTGATAATAGGGATTCGTGGTAGTAATACATCTTCTACGCGAAACTTGCCATTCAAAATGCTGGCTTCGATAACGTTTTTCATCAATTTTTTAATAACTAATCGCGTGCTATTGCACAGCCTTGGTGGGTTCAAATTACGTAGCAAAATAATAGGAGAAAAAGCTCGCGACACCGTAGAATGACGTTGTCCTGACCGCGTCTAATCATCATACGATACGCATAATAAGCTTTCGAGCTAACGTTCTTGTTTGTTTCGTCTACTGTAATAATATATTCATAAGTATTAATTCAAATTAAGTAATGATGTTCACAATGAATGAAGTACCTGTTACGGGATCCCGTTGTTTAATATTTATGCAATATCCGTCTTGTCCCTTCCAGAACATTAGCGGATATTGGAGAGCGTCGTATGAACGACGTGTACAGGCATCAGCAATGAACTCAATAATATTATTTATTCTTCGAATCACGATTTCTCGTGAAGCTGTACGGTCGCCAACCATGATTCCAGCAACGTCGTCAACTACAGGTGCATTGAATCTACGAATGTGCTCTCCAGCTGGTGTTTTATCAGGATTGATGACAATTGCGTGATTGTCACTTTGTAATTTGTGCATGTGTGATTTGAATAATTTCAAAAATTCATTGAGCTCATTCAATAAAGCRCCCAGATCACCGYCGATGCGCCTGGAAAAAGGTGAATTAAGGTTATTGTAACTACAACGTGCATCCACGCGATTGGCAAGTGCGCTTTCGGAGTCCTCACCACCYATAAAGTAAATTTGTAAAAATKTATGTGGTTCGTTTGGCATTGGTAGCAATGAGCCCATTCTATGATAAACTTGGCCTTTGATTTTGAATGTTGAATTAAATTGTTGACCATTTGCAGCATTATTTTCAACTATTTCTGTTGCTCCGAACGATGTCATTTGGAAATRTGAATTGAATGTTCGAATTGACTTCAGGAACAGGTTAGAATCTGGATCCGTACCGATAAGTAAACCGTTCAATGGTTCAGGTGGTGTTTCAATTTCCGGTAGTTGCACTTTTCCTGACGCGCAACACATACCGGCTGGCTCATTTTTGAACTTCAGCGCATTACAATGTGGACATTCCTTGTCCACAGCACCAATCTCTACTTTCGAATGAGCGTAATATTCAATATCGGACCCATACCCGAATGCTAGACGAAGGAATGAATTGGATGTAAATGCTCTATGTACTTGTTGGCGTTGTCGGTCATTTGCTCTGCGTGTGTTAACTACGAATTGACGCGATTCTAATCGTCTTATTTGATTTTGTTCAGCTTGTGTCTCACGCAATCGCACCATGTTCACACGTACATTTTCATTGTTCGGTTGGATTTGTACGTCATTTCTTAGTGCTCTTCTATCTCGCATGCTTGTACTTTTGGTCGTTCGATGAGCCAAATCAGACCCCTTGTGTCTTGCTGGCATTGTACAAAATACACAAATCGATACAATTAAAGTTCATATTAAACTAAATTAATTAATGTATGTTTATATCTATGGAAGTACGTCAGACGACAGCKGCGACAACGGYGGCTGATTGGTTAGTGTGGCCATTGATTAAATATATGAAACAGCGATTAAATATAAAGAATAAAAATAAATAATAATAATAATTTAATACCAACGGCATTTCTATAAAAAAAAAAAATGTCGTAGGTTAAAAAAAATCCCTGTATGAGCCACCCTTTAAATAAAAATAGGGGTGTGAAAATAGTTTAAATCACTTTCTGAGACCTACTTAATATACACAACAAATTTCATGAAAATCGGTCCAGCCGTTTCGGAGGAGTTTGGTAACAAACATTGTGACACGAGATTTTTATACATATATTAGATAAAATTCAACAATTATCATGTCCTACTTCATAGAAATCATCCAGAATAAATACTCCAATGTCTTACAAATTTATAATGACGCATCTAAATCTCAGTATGGAACTGGCTTTGCAATCATCAAAGAAGAAACCAAAATCCTACATAAGCTTCTTCCGGAGAGCAGCATTTTCACAGCAGAAAACTACGTCGTCTTAGAAGGAATCAAACTAACAAACTTGACCACTTCAAATAACAATATTTTAATAGTAAATGATTCATTTAGTGCTCTCCTAGCACTCAAAAACCTCTCTCGACAAATTAAACAAAATATACATAAACATACAAAAATGCACCCAAAAATGGCTCTATCTCCATAATTTAAACAGACGACAAGAAGTCACTCTAGCCAGAGTGCGAATTGGACATTCTTTTCTGACCCATTTATTCTTAATCAAAAAATATCCACCAACCATATGTAATAAATGCCAAGAACATCTAACCATTCAACACATCATGAGTGTATAATCATCGCTGAGTATAGCCCCGGCCTATATGTAATATTATGTATACACGATTTAGAGTGAACAAACGTTTTGATTCTTAACTTCAATATTAAATTTCCTGTTAGGAAATCGGTTATCTAGTTTACAAATTTTTAAGATAAAAATTAAAAATGCCTTCAATTATTTACCAGGATCCCGATGGATATGGGTGTTATCTTTATAGTGCATAAATGATCATGTTAAGTTGTGGTTTGATTAATATGAAGATAAAAAAAAAAATATAAATAAAATGACTTATTAACGTATAATATTTTATGTCAATCGATAAATAAATAAAATATAAATCAATTACCTATGTTATCATTGGTCGGAGATTGAATCACCGAATTTATTTACTYGTTGATTAAAAACGATTAAAAACATATAGAACGAATTAAATAGGCATTATTTTTCTACAATGTACAGTTGATAAAATGTAAATCAGAGATTTGAATCTAACTGTTCAGTAGCACCACTCTTATTATCAACTGCTTCAGAAGAGTTGAGTTTATGGAKAGCTTATTTAGTCAATATCTCTTTACATCGATGACGCTATAAATACAGACAAGTGGTTAACAAGTTATATATTAATGAATACTTAAACACAGTTAATTTACTATCGTATCGAGGTAGCGAATTAAATAAATGATTTACTATAATATACTGGTACATGTCTCATTTTTCTTTATGACATTTTTACAAAGGAACTGAACTGATTTCACAGGGTCCATGTTTCATCATTTATTGAAATTTTAAGTATATAAAAATAAATATTTAAAGGGAGGTAGTAAGATATGTTCCGAACTCCCGACTTACCAAACTTTTACAAGAGTTGAACAATAATCATATATAAGCCTGAGTTCGCTGTTCTATATTTACATTCAAAAACTACCCACTTCGCACTTAGTGCACTATCTGTACTTGTATCTGTCCAACATTATGTATTACGACAGTCAAATAATATATTAAATTAAAAATAT